ATCATTATGCAGGGAACATCAGGCAGGACTCTGTTTCCCCATCACAAGACCAGTAAAGTAGACCAGATGCCCTGAAGGCTGCTCCCAGATGTGAGTCTAAGGCTGTCTGACGGCAGGAAGCCTTCTCAGGGACAGACACACCAACGGGCTTCTCCCCACACAGGGGTGGCTGGGGTCACAGGTCACAGATTTGGCAACCGAGGAAGGTGCCAGGGAAATGTGGGCGGTCTAGGGGATTGTCTGCATCTTTCATTGGCCTAGCTGGCACATGGCCCTTCACTTACCTCCAGCCTGGCCACGGCGAAAGGGACAGCCCCCTCCATGCTCTGAGCGGTGATCCCGCTGACAGGGGTTCTGTAATCAGTGATCTCCCCCTCGGGCCGGATGAACTTGTCGTAGAGCACGGTTCCGTGGATGTCCACGAGGCTGCAACGAGCCAAGCCGCTCTCCCGAAAGGGCCCCAGCCCCACCATCTCGCAGTCCATGGCCACCACATCCATGCCTCTCGCCATGTTCCACCAGGACCCTCAGATGTGCTGGAGAGGGGGCGGCAGGAGAGGCATCACTTGAGGGCCAGCCGAGGCCCCAGGTGTCCTCAGCCACCTCCCAGCCAGCCTACACCCTCTGCCCTGCCCTTTGTCACAAACACCACCTGGCACAGAAGGAAGTTGGCCTCTTGCCACCCCAGCTGAATTCTTCAGCACAGCCGTCCCGGGGTCTCTCTCTGGTCCTGCCTGGCAGCCTTAGGAACAGGAGGTCCCCTCCCACCACCTCCTCTGGCCGCTACTCGGGAGAAATGCCTTGAACCCTCCATCCTGTCTCCCGTTCTCACCTGTCTGCTTCTCGGGTGTCACTCCTCGACTACTGCAGTTGCTCTTAGCAGTGACTCATCTCTGACTTCAAGCCGGGAATCCTGACCGTTTCAGTTTCTGGTTCGTTATCAAGTGAAGTCAGGGGTGGGAGGCCGGGCACATGGGCTGGGCTGCTCCATTTCCTCTGGCTGCCGGCAGGTGGGGAGCTCGGAGGCCTAAGTCAGGACTGATGAAGCTGGCACGCCCCCTGTCTGGGTGTCCCCCCCTGGTCCCCCTGCCCTCCCCCTAACCGCTCAAGCCCTCCCCCACCTCAGATGACGCAGCTGAGTGGATGGAGTGCATTGCAACAGCTGTCTTTCCTTTCTTACCCTCTGCCCGGAGAATAAACATCCCCAGGACTTGAGCCCAGGGAATGTCCCACAACTTCCGGGCAGCCACTGATCTGACACTCTGTGAGGTCTTTTACAGGGGCAGGGAGAGCTGGCTCTTGGGACACTGAGGCTATTATTTGGGAAGGGCCGGCAAAGGCCCAGCAAAGGCCAGCAGGCAGTGAGGGCGCCTCATAGCCCCCACTGGTTCAGGGGTGCCTCAGAAATGGCCATCTGTCTGCCCTCAACGCTCTCTGCCTCTGATTGGGCTGACACTTGAGGACAAAGAAGCAGCTGTGGAGGGAGCTCCCACCAGCCCCACCATATTTCCTAGGGGCTACTCTCTCCCAGGCTAGAACTTTGACCCCCTTATAACAGTGCCTGAACGTAGGGAGCACTCAGTATTTACTGAATAAATGAGTGAGTTATAACTGGGGCAAAAACAGTATCAGCTTTAATGAAGAAATCATTCATCAGATGAGATTGAATGATGAGTTGGGAGCCCCCCATCTTCCCTCCTTCCCCAGATCCATAGAGGACAAGCTTTGAGCAGTTGGATCTGATTGTCCGCAGTTGTCACAAAGATTTGTGGCTTAGAAAGAAATTTCCCCAGGTACTTGGTGTTTTCACCGAGTGACATCCAACTTCATTTAACATATCTCAAAAATAAAACCAGATACTGAAATATGTTTAAAGGATAAGGCATTGTTCTTGTTTGTTGTTCAACTGGTTCAAATTTGAGTTAGGAGTTGTGTTTGGTTCCCATTTTTGAATGAGCAACTTTTGCTTGAATTCAGACTGGGAACTTTTTGTTTCTCAGATGCATAAAGGCTTGTTACTCTGATTTATGGGGAGATGAAGTAAAATTCCTGTTACTTTAAATGATTGTGCATTGAAAAAGTAACCCCCTAAAGATCCAGTTGAAGGTTTCTGTTTCTACAATCCCCATAGGACCCCACATCCCTCTGGTGAACCGCACACATCAACGTCCCCACTGCAGGCCTCACCCCCTCACCTCCACTGGCCTCCCTGGGACTCGGAACACATTCCTGCCCCTCCGATTCTTTTCCCCATGGTCGTTGTGGTCCTGCTCCGTGGTCAGGTCCAAATCAGCACCTTCAAGTCTTCCCTGCGTTTCTCTTTTCTACGCATGGCCCTGCCCCAGTCCTCACCTGCCCCAGCTGGCACCGGGGTCTCCCCACCTCCTTCATGCCCTGCTCTCAATTGTCCTTCAAATCTTACCAGATTAATTTTCCCAAAACCTAATATCTTGCATTGTTTGTCACAGCACTTTGCTCAAGAACTTAGTGTTGTCAAATCAGAAACAAAAATCAAAATTCAAACCTCAACTCCCACACAGTTCCCAAGACCCTCTTGCATGCATCGTACCTGTCTTTCCAATCTCATCTTGGACCACTGTCTCCACGTTGTCAAAATGGTGACTCTTCCCAGTGCTTCAATACGTCATCCTGCCTCCTTTACTTTTTAAAAATTTTTTAATTTTTAATTTAATTTTTTGTGAGGGAGGGGAGGTAATTAGGCTTATTTTTTTAAATAAATAATTAGATGTTAATAATTGAGTAATGTCTAATTAATAAATTAATTTAATTAATATCTAATTAATAAATAACTAGGTTTATTTACCTTGGCAGAGGTACTGGGGATTGAAGCCGGGACGTTGTGCTTGCTAAGCACACGCTCTACCACTGAGCTGTACCACCAGCCTCTCTCCTTCAGAGGTGTGTCATTCCTTAATTCATTCACCACATGGTAGGGGAGGACAGACCTCCGCCTTCAGGTGGAGGAGACAAAGGTCAGCCCCTCTCCTACACCTTTACCCACACCCCCTTCTCACCTCCTTTCCCACCACTGGCCTTTTCTGTCCCCAGAGCCTGGACATGTGCTGTCCCTAGTCTGGAAAGCTTCCTGCAGGTTATCTCTCTGGTTTGTTCCCTTTCCCTCCCTTCTCTCACCAAGGCCTTCCTGGCCTCTATCTTAAACTGCACCTCCTATCCTCTTCCCCGGGTCTCTTGCATAGAAATTCGCATCCCCTGAAATACCGCAAAGTTTACTTGTTCACTTAACTTTCCCCCTCCCATTTGTTTGGTTTGCTGTGAGGGCCCCCAGCACCTGGAATCCTGCGTGGATCATGCTGACTGTTTTCAAGTGTATTGTCTGTGTGCTCTGAGGATGGACCCAGGCACTGGCGAGCAGTGCCTAGGGGAGGAATCCCTGACCCCAGCCAGGAAGGTGGGCTGAGAATTTCCTAGTGATGATGTGTCCCAGTTTTACCTGGTGTCCCTCATCGGCCAGACCAAGTCCACGAATCTCAGTGGTTCAGGGGACAGCAGGAAAGTGAGTCACTCAGAGCAAACCTCTCAGCCTTACAAGACACACATTTTGCCACAGTTGGCCCACCTCTCGTGCCTGTAGCAGGTACAAAGGTTACCACTGTGTGGCCTTCTCTGAAGCCCCAGCAGAGTACAGGGCGCAGGCCAGGCAGATGATTCATAGCAATGGGCCAGATACCTTTCCCCACAGGCAACCTGCCCTTGGAAATCCAGCGCAGCCTTCTCCAACCTCAGCCAGACACGTACCCCTAAAGTATGTATGTAAATTTCTAAGTTATATACCACAGATGGAACCATCGCAGTCAAATACCAGCAATTGTATGTGGTTCAACTTAAAACAGGTCAAACTGTACCAAAGGAATAATTTTCTTAAGACAGATATAAAAAGAATGAATTAAAAATAAACTATATACCAATAAACATGTGAAAAAGATGCTTAGCATCACTACCAGGGACATGCAAATCAAAACAAGATTATCACCCCACGTCTGTCAGAATGGCTGTTCTTAAAAAGACCACAAATAACAAATTGTCAGAGAGGATGTGGAGAAATTGGAACCCTTGTGCACTGTTAGTGGGAAAGTAAAAGTGTGCAGCCACTGTGCAAAATGAACACAAAAAATTGTGTTCCTCAAAAACACAATTGTAGTCCTTAAAAAACTGAACACAGAATTACCGTGATCCAGCAATCCCACTTCCGAGTATACACCCAAAAGAACGGCAAGCAGGGCCCTGAAGATATAGCAGCATTATTCACAATAGCCCGGGACAGGGACATAACCCAAATGCCAGTGGATGGATGGTTAAACAGAAGGTGGCAGGTCCCTCCAAATGATTAGTCAGCCTTAAAACAGAAGGAAATTCTGACACACACTGCAACCTCAGAGATGAACTCTGAGGACATTATGTTAACTGAAATAAGCCAGATGCAAAAAGGCAAATACTACAGGATTCCACTTATAGGAAATATCTACTCAAATCCATAGAAACAGAAAGTAGAACCGTAGTTGCCAGGAGCTGAAGGGAGGAGGAAATGAGGGGTTATTGTTTACTGAGTAGAGTTTCAGTTTTGCAAGATGAAACAGTTCTGGAGACTTAGTTGCACAACAAAGTGAATACATTTAACAAACTTAACTCTACACTTAAAAGTGGTGAAGATGGTAAATTTTACAGTATCTATTTTCATTTAAAACTAAAAAAATCTTAAGAGAAAAAAGTGAGTACATACCTTCAGAGAAACAAGTTTAATAAAATTGTGCTCTATATAACAGGGCAGTTACAAAATTAAAAAAGAAACATAAATTCTGCGGTTCTAGTATTTTCTTGCCACATCCCATAGCATCATCTTGAAAACCACCCACCTCAAAGGCGAAAGCTGTGAGCAAGATTCAGTGTCCCAGTAGCCCCCAAACCCTCCACCAAGCCAGCCTCCCACCCTAGTAGAAGAATTCAGAGAAAAGGCCAATTCACCCAGTTTTCCAATTGAGTTTTATTCCAGAACAAATGGTTTTACAAAGCCAATTTTAAACCCAGTATGTTTCCCCACTGCTCCATCCTCCCTCAACCAGCAGACCAAAGAACTGAAGCTATAGCTTGGCTGTGAGTGTGGCGTCAGCTACACTTTAAGTCCTGGAGCCAGGCCAGCAGCAGACAGTGACTCAGTCAGCTCCCAGAACAACCTGTGGTCTCGAGTTCACAGTAGTGTGGTTTCAGTAGTGTCTCTTCCTTCCTGGTCCGGGAAACTTGCTCACACTGACATGAAATCCATTGTCACTTCCTGCCTGCAGTGGAGGGACGCTGAGTGAAGACAGGTCATGCAGCACAGGGCACGGTGAGAGCCGGAACTTCCACCTTGTGTCCTCACCGACCTGGGCCCCACCTGCTGCAACAGCCACAAGGACCGTTCTGCCTGGGCCAAGGCCACTCAACCCGAGGGCATGTTCAAGGGTTATCCAGAAGAGGCTGACACCAATCCTTAAAGAAAAAGAGCTGCTCACACTGACCTCAGCTCACTATGTGCCGAGCACCGTGCCAAGGAGTTAGCGCTTCATCCTCGTAACCCTGTGAGGTAGGTTGTATCACTATCCTTGTTTTACAGATGAGGTAACAGACTCAAGAGAGGTCACGCACTTGCCTAAGTCTCCAAGCCACTAAGTGGCAAGCAAAGATGGCGTTCAACGGTCCTGTGTGACCTGAGCTCTTGGTTATGCCAGTACCCCAAATTGCCCCTTAGGAAGAAAGAAGGAAAGAGGGCTGGGGGATGAAATCCTGACAGAGAACATTTTTAGAAAACTGGAGACAACTCAAGCACCATGGTGACTAGGGGCACCCACCCGAGTGCAGGCACAGCTGCATGGCCATCAAGGCCCAGCCCGGCCCCAGCGGACCTGCCCTCTGCTCCTCTACAGCCCCGCCGCCCTGCCCGCAATAAATAAAGGTTCCTTGTGGGCAATTCTGCGCCGGGGTCCCAGAATTCAAACTGCTGTCTTGCTTCTCAGGCTTTCGCTTAAGAGAGCCTCGTGCTGGGTGGGCAGGAGGAATGCCTGATTTGGGTCAAAATAAACATGCTGGTCTCTACCCAAAGCCTATCTGTTCCCCTCCTCCCAGAATAGTGATGTCTGGCAGCTGTGAGGACCAGCTCCCCACGGGCCTGTGGGCTCTGCTCTTCCATTGTAGCCTAGTAGTTCCTACAATGGCTCAGCCAGAGTGCCAGTCCTGAGAGAGGGGGAAGAAACGTCCCTGAAGTCTACAGAGAGATGGCCTTATCTCTACAGCTTCAGGGCATCTTTATTCCGAACCTGAAAATGACTGTGGAGGAAGAGGTAGATGGCAACAACAGAAGAAAACCTTACCCCAGGCCACTGAGCTGAGCCAAGGGAGGTCCAGGGCATTGACCCCTCCCCCCCACCAGCCCCAGAGGAGACATTACCCCTGGAGAGAGCACAGCTTGGGGGCGGGAAGGCATGACAGCCCGGGGCTGTCTGTGGGCACCTTCCCTACTCCTGCTGGGCTCCAGCAGCTGGTCCGCCTGACATTTTCCTGGTGTCTGTGAAGAGCCATTAGCAAAACCACAGGAGTCAGGGGGAAAAAGCAGACCATAGCCCTGGAGAGGGGAGGGCTGGGGGCAAAGGGAGCTCAGAGGACAGATGGTCCCAACTCCACTGACTCTTGGGGCAGCTGGCAGCATCCTGCCCCAGCCAGGATGACGCCCTAGTGCTCTCCTGACCCCACTCTCCACGGGAGCCTCTCCTCCCTCACTCCCTCCTGCCCTGCACCTCCCCCGTTCCTCTGCTGGTGCCCTGGGCCAGGTCCTCAGGCCAGTACTGGTCCTCCATATACTGCTCCATGTCCGTGCTGCTGTCGGGGTCTCTGTCCTCAGCGTGCGTCTGGAGGCTGCTGGCCTCCTGCTCTTCCCACCGCACCTCCACCAGCCGGTAGAGCTCCATGGCCGTCATGGCGTCTTCTACCGACGAGTGCCCGTGCTGGCCCACCTGAGGATGACAGCCCACCCATCACTGCCCGCAGTCCCGGCGGGAGGCCTGGCCCTCCGGACTCTGTGGACAAGCCAAGGGGTGCTTATTCTCAGAATGGGGGTGCACTGCCTGGTACAGTGAAAAAGGCATGGGTCCTAGTCACCCAGCAAAGTGCTGGAATCTCAGCCGTGCCACAAGCCAGCTGGCTTCTCTAAGCCTGTTTCTTCAAATATAAAACATGATGGAAAAAAAAATCCCTGCTTCAAAGGCTCATAAAGCAGATGGAATAAGGAACACGAGGTGCAGCAGGAGCAAGTTACTCGGGGTCCCGGCTGAAGGCTCCACTCTGGTTGCAGGAGATGAGGTTCTACATGAAAACACAGGGACAGAGCCAGGAACTGGGCAGGAGACAGGTCTGAAAGAGATCAGCCTGGGGGATGTGGCTGGCTGTCACACTGCACTGGGGAAGGAGGACTGTGGAGGGAAAACCCCCAGGGCTACACGCGGGAGCCCCGGGACCTGACTGGGAGGCTGGAGGCATGGCCTGTCCGTGGTCCAAAGGGCATGGAGGCCAGGCCTTCTCCCCACACCCTCTGCCCAATGCTCCTGCACCACGTACCTGGATTTTCTTGTGCAGCAGCTGCAGAGCCAGGTCCTTGAGAGAGACCCGGGTCCGGGTGTGGAGGCCCGGCTGGCTGAGGAGGTTCGGGACATAAGTGGTATCCCGGGTCTGGCCCCGAGGGTGGACGTACTTGAGAGCCTGGAAGTCGTTGTGCAGCGCGTGGCCCACCACCACCTTGCCCTTCAGGAGCTTCAGGATCTGTAAGCAGGAGTCAGGAGGGCCCCACCATCAGGTGGGCACAAGACACATCCCGACACCCTGATCAGGGGTGCGGGGACCCCTTTGGAGGGAGGCAGCACGGAGAGGGGAGACCATGGGTTCCCCCCTCAACCAGGCTGCCCAAGTTTGAATCCAGACCATCTACTCACTACTCACCATACCCAGGGGTGTGCATAAGCATCCCCCGCACCTGCAAAACAGGAAAGCTGCCAACAGCCCTGACGGGGTGGTCCTGAGCATCAGGGAGCTCTAGGGCGGTAGGTCACCCGATACAAGCACTCCTCCCTGCTGGCACAGGCCCTTCTCTCTCAGCCTGGAAGCCCTCACCAGCCCTCCCGCCCCACCCAGCAGGTCTCAGCTTGCAGGTTGGGAGGCCTCCCCTGTTCCCTCCTTAGGGGGATTCACACATTTTCTAAGGACATGTTTAGCTCCAGCAGGGTCTGTCCAACTCCCCCTACTGTAAGCTCATTGTAACATGCAGGGACCATGTTTTCCTGGACTAGTGATGATCAACGAAAGCTCAGCACACAGTGGGTGCTCAGTGGAGACCCACCGGGTGAAGTCACAGAACTGGGCAGGGCACTGGAGACATTATCACCAACAGCAGCTTCTATACTATTAACAGAACAGTCCCTCCCTTCAGGATTCCGTCCCTTTGCCCCTCTGCTGTACACGACTCCCATTTCTCACCCTCGAAATCTGCCCTCCGGCTCAGCTCTGACCATCGGCACAATGTGTTCCTCTCTTTCCCGCCTTCCACCCTCCTCAGGCCCCGGGCAGGCCACGACCAGAGCCATGGGCCTGCAACACCCTCTTTACTGGGCTTGGATCTCCTTATCTCCCGCCGCTGGCCTCCCACGGCCTGCCTCTGCTGGCGCCAAGTGTGGGTTATTGCTAAACTCAGCTCTCACAGCATATGGGTAAGGTGCGTTTAGACTTCTATGGTAGGGGAGTGCCACCCACCCCAGTCACCCCTCACACACACACACAAGCCATGTAGCGCATTCCACACTGGCTCAGAGTCTGGGCAGATCAAAAGTGGTCCTGCTCTTGGCAGGTCGAGGGAAGCACCAAAGAGCTAGAGGGTTCTCCACAGCCCTCCTTTCCTGTTCCTCCCACTCCTGATCAGTCTGCTTGATAAACAACCTTTTGAAAGATATGCGTTGGCTGTATCTTATGTGAAAAAGGAAGACACAAGATGACTTATACAGGTATCTCCTAAATTTACCTAATCCCACAAATAACCCAGAAATGTTACGTAGTTCTGCTACAACCCTTGTTTTGAAAATGCAAAATGGTCCAACAGTGGTTAATGTATTAGGACTTGATTTGAGAATAATGCAAATTTCGCCCTTGAGAAACACCCGGTGAATGCAGGGACCGCACCCAGCTGCACTGAGCCACCAGGGAATCCACAAAGTGCCCATGCTTCCAACACCTACCAGCCAGCTTAATTCACCTGCCTGCTGAGCCATGGCTGCCTGCACCTGGTGTCCCCACTTCCTGACTTCTGGTAACTCCCTCCACCCCTCCACCATAGTGCTGGCCGCCACCCTCCTGACACCCACTTCCCTGAGAGTTCCAGGTCTTTTTCAAGGCAAAGTGCCACACTTACTGGTGTATTTACGCATTTCTTAACCACTGAACCTATGCAAAATGGCGCTACCGCTATTACTAAGTTTCTATCTTTTTATTTTTGGCTGTCACTGATGAAGTTTTCTGAGGGCCGTGTCCCTAACCCCATTTCCCTATTAGCTCTAAGTTTTTTACTGTGCAAGTTTGAACAGCGTGATGGCTTTTAGGAACCCTCCCAAGGCTTAGAGACCTGCTGGATTAGAATCTCTACGGAGGGGTCTGGGGACAAGGATCCAGCATTGTTAATAAGGATTTAGGCATCTCCCATGCTCAAGGATGTTTGGGACATTCCTGGCATGTTAGTGTGGTCCCAACCACTAATTAATTTTTTTCAAAGCAATGAAAAAACACCTGAAGGTGATACCACCATGGGCCTTACAAATTTTATGCAGACATGTAACACTTTTATAACAGAAAAGCAAATGCAGAGCGTAAGCTATTTCAAACCTTACAGTCCGCACAGCCTTTCCACAAAAACGATTGCGAACACCCCAGCAGTCCTTCCATGCAGGAAGGGCAGATTTCTATTCACCCTTTTCTATGGAGAAAAAACCCACTGTTTGGAGAAGTAAGTTTCCTGAGGTCTCTCGCTTCCAGAGGCTGGCTAAGTGTTGACTCAGACCAGGGACTGCTCTTCCCAGCCCATCACACCGACCCAGACAAGCCCCCAGCCCTGCCCTCACCTCCTTCTGGGCCACCTGGAAGGGGATGGCCTTGCGCATGTGCTGCCGAGTGATGCCGCTCCAGCGAGTACGGTAGTCCACGATGGGCATCTCAGGCCGGATGTACTTGTCGTAGAGGACGTCGCCATGGTAACTCACCACAGAGCAGCGGGCCAGCTCACTCACTCGCCCTCGGGGTCCCGTGCCCACCATCTCACAGTCGATAGCCACGCACCTGGTGGGCATGGGACCAGCAAATTCCCTGGGGGTGGACTTTCTGCTGGCAGAGGCATTTCCAGATGCAGCCTTTGGATGCTGCCTCGCCCTGCTGGCGGCTTCCCTGCCAGGCGGTGCCCCCCACCACATGTGCAGTGGGGAGGATCCCGGTTCTGGGGGTGTGCTCAGCAGCCCCTGCTCCTGAAGCAAAGCCTTCCGGGCCATGAACCGCTGGTGCTGTCGGCTCCTCCTCTTGTGCTTCCTCCGAAGCACATCCTTGGCATTCAGGCTGGCCAGGGAAGGACACAGGCACTGGGCAGACTCAGGAGCTTCCCGGGGTACCATCCCAATCAGCTCACCGCTCAGGGCAACGGAGGCCTGGGAGGTAACCTGCCAGTGAGGCAACAACCTGGGGAGAGAACACAGAGGGCAGAGGGGCTGGGTGAGGAGGGTGCCAGGCCAGCCCCGCCCCTCCATCCCCCACTTCCTCCCTGCAGTGTTCACTGCCGGGCTGCCCTAGAGCCCTATACTTTGTCTCAGGATCCCAAGTGGAGTCACAGACCTATTTTAATAATAATCGCACTCACACAGTCAATCCCACATGCGGAATCACACATGGAATCACTCAGTCTTCCCAAAAACTTGAACAAAGTATCATTATCCTCATATACAGGTACAGAAGCTGAGGCCTATAACCTATAATGAAAAAGAATCTGAAAAAGAATATATATATATATATGTATATATAATTGAATCACTTTGCTGTACATCTGAAACTAACACAACATTGTTGATCAACTATAATTTAATTTTAAAATAGCTAAATAAAAATTTAAATAAAAGATATTTCAACAAAAATTTTAAATCTTCAAAAAAACCTGAGGCATAGAAGTTAAGAAACTTGTTCAATTAGTAACAAAGGCTGATGTAAACTCAGAATCCACGCTCTCAACCTCCAAGCCGTAGCTTACCTGCAATGTTAGTATCAAAAATTTTAGAAAGGTATAGTTACGGGAAAATAAAGGTTACACAAAAGGTATATATATGAAGTCCCATTAAAAACAAAACCAAAAATCTTCATGAAATGTGAAGGCACATTTCCACAGCAGAACCTGGAGAAAATATTTCACAGGAAGCTCACAATAGTTGTTTTTGGGTCTGTGTTAACAAAAATGATGTAATCCACTAAATGACTTTCTAATTCATTCACGACAATGTCTACAAACATTTTAAAATAGTTGGATGTGTAGTTTTATCACTGAAGCCTATAGGCACTGGTGTGCTGGTAAACCAGCTCAAATCTTAAAGAGAAACAGAAAAAAACCCTGCTCTGTAGTGCTGCAGATTTCTGTGGTACCCTCCAAGTTCTCCATCCCTGAGAAGAGATGCTGTTGCAAACCACTGCCACAGGAAAGGTTTGATGTTCACATGGGTTTGCAAATCCCATGCAATAAGGCCAGCATCTTCCCAACAGCAGATGTAGCTGGGAAAGTTTCCTCTTGTTTGCTATGCTAAGTCAGCTGGCACATTTTTAAAACACCAGAAAACCAGGGCTTTGAAGTAGGCAAAGCAGGGGCTAACTCAGCTCTGTATGTTACCTAACCACTGAGTGTCAGATACTTTGCATGTAAAATGGCCCGACTACCCTTCCCACGGGAAGAGGAAATGGCCCAATCTATGTGTGCTGGGATCTGTGTATATTACATGCAGCAGGGGCTCAATAACTAACTACATGCTCCCTCCTCCACCCACTCTGCCCCGAGAGCTGAGGACTCCAGCTCATGGTTGGTTACCAGCTCTTCCCAGGCCAGAGCTGCCTCAGCCAGGACTCACTGGCCCCTCCCACAGGCCTTCCTCCTGCCTCCCTTCCCACTCACATCCCTCGTACCCTTTCTGTGTCCTCCAGGAAGCCCTTCAGGAACAACCCTTTATGCCTCTGGGTTGCACAGGCCAATGCCACAGAGGCCTCTGGGGTCCCAACTGGGCCAAGTGCTGGGCAGAGAGTTACAAAAATGAATCCTGGACTCCAAGGAGTTCAGTGTCACTGCAGAGACAGAAATGAAGCAGAAAGTGTGTGAAGGGCTGCGTGTGAAGTGCCAGGGGAGGAAGTCAAGTCTGGGTGAAGGTGGAATAGCATCCCTCCAGGTGGAAGGGAGAGGAATGAGTGGCCACATCAGGGGAAAAGAGAAGTACCCCACGATGGAGGAAGAGGGGCCCACCAGCACCCTGATGCCATTTGGCCGTGAGGCACAAGGTGGGCCTGGCTGCAGGAACTGCTCTTCTCCGCTTTTTACCACTTAACCTTCTGCCCCAACTCTAGGAAGTCCAGTACACTGGTGGCTTTTCCCCAAGCTGTTCCTACCCTCAATTAATGTCCCCAACTGGTCTCTGCTGGCCAAGTGAGGGAGCCCCAGAGGCACCTCAGGAGGTCACTGAAATATGGAGCAGTAGCCCTGACCCCAGACATTTACAGTCTAGCTGGGGAGCAAAGAAGTTCACCCCTCTGTGCTCTGACAGCACAATCAGAGAATTTACTACACCCTTCAAAGTCAGTAATTACAGTCTGCCTCAGAGCACTCTGAAGGCAGGGATAGAGCCTTGTTTGTCTCTGTCCCTTCTCCAACAGCCAGCCTGTGACTTGGCATGGAGCAGATCTTCCCCCAGAAGTGTGTGAACGGAGCTGACACCAGGCCTGCTCTCTGCCAACCTATGGGGACTACAGAGCTGGAGGAACATCTTCAGGAACTCTAGGCAGGGAAAGTGAGAGACAGTCAGAAACTTACAAGGGTGTGCTCAGGATGGGAGCCATGGACTAAGGACTCAGGCCTGACTCACCAAGCCGGGTATTTGAACAAGCAGAAACGCTGGTTCAGAGAAGGCCTGGCAGTTGGTGGGAGCTGGGGGGAAAGAGAAGCACTTTGAAGGGTTTCAGAAAGGTCTCCCAGGCAGCCCAGGAAGGGAAGGGCATCCAGACAGACAAAGTCCAAGAGGCAAAGCACATCCACTGTGGGAAGGCAAGGAGTTTGGTGCAGCAATTGGAAAGCAAGAAGGTAGGGGATGAGGTGATAAGTGGAGTGGGGACAGTCAGAGAGAATTGTCCCTGGACCGTGGCAAAAGTTTGAGTTTAATCCAGAGACGGATGCGGGGGAAGGTGGGGATGCACTTAACTGCTCAGAGGTAGGGTGCATGCTTAGCTTGCTTGAGGTCCTGGGTTCAATCCCCAGTACTTCCATTAATAAATAAACAAACAAAACTAATTATCTCCCCTCGCCCCTCCCACCCTAAAATCCAGAGATAGATGGGAGCCATCAATCTCCCTAGAGTTTTGGGACAGGTGACTCATTCTGACTCATCCCTCTGCTTGCTTATTCCTTCCCCAAGAAGCCTTCTCCTTGTTAAAGAGGCTCTTTAACTATAATCAGCTTCCTCATATTAACAAGCCACATATTCGGGCTGACAAATACAGAACCTCAGTTTGCCTCAGCCCAGCAATAGGGAGAATGAGGACTAAGAAGACAGAGACTGATCCCACTAATAAATGACTTCCGTTGGAGAGGAGGGCCCTTTCTTTTCTCCTCCGGGTCAGGAGCTGAGGCCGGGCTACAGTTGGTCGGTAGCTCCCTGACACTACTGGCAAGGTTCCAAAGGCCGCACAAGTTAGGATCCCTAAGAAACAAGGTCTCTGTGGCCTTGTGTTCCAAGAGGAAAACAGTCCTTTCTACACGCCCTGACCTAGCTGACGCATCAGAACCAACAATTAATCAGGAAGGGCACGCCTCCCTCATCCTGGGCCCCCACATGGAGCTCAGTAGGGCTGGGGAAAAGTTTTGCTCTAATAACAACTCTTTCAGTGAAGGCGAACATATCTCTCTCCAGCCCAGAACCAGAGCTAGATGAACTGGACCAAGACAGAGTCTCCTAACAGAAAACGAGGGTTTATTTAACCGGAGCATCCAACTAGGTTAAGGGCTTCCCAAAAGCAGTTCATTACCAGAATCAGTTAAGACATCTTTTAAAAGGCCGATTTCTAGGTCTACCCCCACACCTTCTTAACTGCCATTTGGGGAAACAGGGCCTGAGAATCTGCATTTTAAAGAGCGCCCCACCCCCAGCCATGATACTAATAATCGCCCGAAATTGAGAAAGGTTGGCTCTATAAAGTCCCCTATGCTACCAGGAAGTTCACGAGACAAGAAAAGTCCGAGGAAAGCCCCGCACTGTCTCCCCCAGCCGCCGGCGTTCTCCGAGAAGTGACGTGTGGGAGGCCTGGCCTCACCCCGGCAAGGACTGGGGCATTGGTCACTCCCTGTTCTTGGCGCCCAGCAGACGCCCACCAGGCCGAGCCTCATCGCCCAGAGCCGCCTCTCAGGCCCGAGACCCCGGAGCGGGTGAGGCCGGGACCAGGCTGCGCCTGAGGCCAGGCCTGCACACCGCGGATCCCGGGAGCCGGATCGGCCCGGCC